CCTTGTATCCTCGCTTTATGGGCTTCAAAGGTATATACTGCTTCAACCAAGGGGGAAACAGCGGACTTCAAGACTTCAAGACTTCAAAAGACTTCAAGAGACTTCAACGGACTTCAGCCGCAGTGACTTCATATTTTCACAAGACTTCAAAAGACTTATGAAGACTTTATTGGATTTCAAAAGACTTCATGAGACTTCACGGACTTCATGAGACTTCAAAAGACTTTATGAGAATTCATAAGACTTCATAAGACTTCATAAGACTTCATAAGACTTCACAAAACTTCATCAGACTTCACAAGACTTCGTAAGATTTCAAAAGACTTCAAGAGGCAGATTCCGTGCGTATCAAAAAAACTTATAGAAATTAAATGAAACCTCTATAACATGCAAAAAAGCTTATCATTAAGTAAGGGTGTCATTTAACATGTACTTTATAATAAATACAAATTACTTATCATTTAATTTACGCGTAAATTAAATGAAAAGTAAATATAAACTGACACTCTCATTCATAATGGAGTAACTAGCGTCTTCCGAGCACTAGGAACAGAATGATATTGATAAAATCAACGTTGAAAATATTATTTTAGCTGCATTTAACCGTGCAAAAGAACTAGTTAATAATTTGAATATATTACCTTCATTAAAGGAATGCAATGCTTGTGAACTTAATGGTTTAAGTAAAAATATATCTGATAGTATTAGATTCAACATTAATTCGGATAATTATTGAGCAACGGATTCAGATTCTTCATCAGATTCTGAATCTGATTATGATAATGAAGCAATGGAAAGTAATGAATTTGATAGTGATCTAATCAATGTGGATGAAGAAGATAAAGATGCGGCAATGACACAAAACTTTGATGAAATTAAAACTGAGAAAATAAATTTTACTGGTATGCGTATACTCGATTCGATTAATCCAGCAATGAAAAACTCCTATTTCCAAGTGCATATAAATAACAAGACTAAATTTATACACAAGCAAACGGCTTGTTGGTTATTGACCGACAAAGTTAGCCGCTTATCGGCTGATAGATTATCACGAGTGATAGAAACAAACAAAAAGGATTGAAAATCTTCATCAGATTGATTTGGATAGATGGAAAATTTCTTCTAAAAATCAACCACTTCATTCAAAAAGCATTCACTTATTAATTATCATGTTTTCTAAGATCAAACAAACTTGAATTTTTTCCAGTGCATTAAAAAAAAAATAAAAATTTCACCTTTCTACTAAAATAAGACCGTCGAAAACAAGACAATTCATTGGTTTCTTGTGAATTTTCATGCACGAAATGTATTTCAAAGCTTCCAGAAGACTTCAAGAGACTTCAAAAGACTTCAGGAGACTTCATCAGACTTCAAGAGACTTCAAGAGACTTCATCCGACTTCAAGAGATTTCATCAGACTTCAAGAGACTTCATCAGACTTTATGAGACTTTAGAGACTTCAAGAGACTTTACGAGAATTCATAAGACTTCAAGAGACTTCATAAGACTTCGAAAGACTTTCAAGACTTCATGAGACTTCAGTCGTGAAGTCTCCGCTGTTTCCCCCTTGGCTTCAACGAACTTCTTCCTTTAAATTTTATCATGCTTTCGTCAATGCAGACGTTGGTTCCCAAAGTAAAATTCTTTTGAAAGTTTCTTTTCAGTAATGAAATGAAATCGAAAACTTTGAATAATTTGAATTGGTCGTAACTTTTTTCAAATTGATCTTGTTTTGCATTATCTGCTAAATGAAACGCAGTAAATATTCGGTAGAATTCATCTCTTGGCATAACACCAGCAATCACTTCTGTAGGAAATATTTTGTTTCTACTCCAATAATCTCTTAGTCGAGGCAATCGATGTAAACCCATAATGATTAGTAAGCCAAAGAAAGAATGAATAGCACTTTCATTCATCTGTTGCCAATCATTTGTACGATTCTGTGCTAAAGACTTTTTCTCTCCATATATATTTGTATGTTTCACCATCAATTCAATAACATCTTTTGTGAAAAATTTGTTGAAGACGTCAATCGGTTTGATGGTCTTGGTAAAAGTGATGGTTGTTCATCCTTGCACTTGATTTAGAGAAAAAACTGTGTCTCGAGT